GCTTCTTCAAGGGTGGCTGCCCATTTGCCAAAGACACTGCAGGAATGGAGATTTTGAAACCTACATACACTGTGGTAGGTAATTTCGGTTACAGCATGAAACTATTGATAGAAACCATCGATAAAGAGCTTTCTAACGTATAGCTTAGATGCAGGGATTTCTTTTCTTTCCCTAGTTTTTGTAGGCAATGCCAAACAATTGTCACTGTGTAATGTTTTTCCCACTTTCAGAGTAAATCTCGAAACACGAATCGTTCTACAGAATCTATTGCCTGAAATGAAGAAAAATATGATTAGCTTACGGCTGATTTAGTTGAGCTGTTGTGTACCGTTTCCTAGTAAATATTCTTGTTTCTAGTTCAACTCTATCTTCCCTTTAACCTGCAGTATCCATATTCTTTGACGGTTGAAGAGATCGTCAAGAAGTGCCCAGTTTTTGGCAAAGGTGTGTGCCCGTATAAAGGTCTTGCTGATGAAATGAAAGGAATTACTGGAAACTGCCCTGGTTTCAAACACGGATGTCCTTTCAAGAACCTGACAACCATGGGTGAGTACGTGGGTAAACTGGCCGACATGCGAGATACGATAGGCACTCCTAAGGGTCGAGCTGCATTCGAGAAGTTGGTGAAGAGGGTTCATGAGATCTCCAAGGAGGCTGAGAAGGAGGCTGGAGCTTGGCCATTCCCTCCAGGTACCTGCCCAATCTTTGCCCGTGATGCACATGGAAAGCGCATCATGCCAAAATACAATTAGGCTTCCTCAGAGTGGAAGAAGAAGGATCTGACTGAGGCAACTAGCGTTTAAGTAGTTTTTTTCAGAAATGAATTTTAATGCCATGTCGTTGTCTTGTTTAAGAGTAGGTTTTTAAGTCAGTCAGTTTCCTCCCGATATTTTAACTCTTAGATATAGGTTGTGGTGTTGGGATCTTTATTGATTGAGTGAGAAGCCTCGGTATAAGATGAGATGATGAGATAGGTATCAAATTATCTATGGAGAGCTCCCGCTCATTCAGCCGGGCTGTAACGACCCCGTTTTTCAGTGTAGTGTATGGAACTGCCTGAGTAAGTGATGCTACTTTGTGGTCTTTTGTTATATGTGCTCCTTGCTACTAGATGTTTCGGTGTTGGGCTTTTTTTGAAGAGCTTTTTTTTTACTTATTTGGCAATAAACAACTCCCCTCCCTGTTTTCAAAGTGTTTATCCTATAACGAGACTAACGTAGGGATTTCCAGGTCATTCTTTGGTCATAATTGCATCTGATCTTGTCTTCAAGCGCAGCTTCAACGCTGTAACAGTGTTCAACCTTTTACCTAGGAATATAATAACAATAAAGCTCTTCTCTTTGGGGTTTTAAAATGATTGTCACGTTTAATTTGTGGTGATTTAAACTCGACAACTTACTTCTGCATAGGGTTCTTAAAGGAAAATTAACATGAAATTATATCAGTATGTTTTTATGTCAGGGAGGCCACTCGCCATCTCAGTTGCAATCAAGCTTGCATATATTATTGAATTATGTCCTTTATCTAAGGGTTGCTGTCAACAAAATAGAGTTCCTTCCGGAAAAGTTGTCCCACGTGCGCTACTTTTAAAGAAACCATTAAAAAAGCTGTGGCGTTCCAACACCACCAAAGTTCAATTGATCAATTTTTATTCGAAGATACAAACATTAACCTGTACTTTGCAATATTAACTGTAGACTTTCAACCTGTGATTCAAACATCCATAAAAGCCTTTTGAAATCCATTTAGAACATATAATTATGCGCTCCAAACACACAAATAGTCAGTTAAAACTTTCAATTAATCAGGTTTAACCAAAGGCGGCCCAAGCTCCAGCTGTGAGATGATCATCTTACAAAATAAGAGTCATGGCGAAATTGTAAGAGTTTGTCTAGGAATATTTTCGACCGCTCTAAGGAATAATATTTCGAGGTTTTCTACGTACATAAGGGTTTTTCTTATATGTATAGAAAACCTGGAAAAAAATGATTCGCCAAAATGGGTTTCCTTCAACTTAGAATGCGATCAGATAACATGCAACGCACTGTGGAAGTAAGGTGAAGTTTTTTTTGTGAGAATTTGACTTATTTTTTTATTCCTTAGAGCGGTCGTAAATATTTCCATACAAACTTATAATTTCGCCATGACTGTTATTTCGTAAGATGATCATTTCACAGCTGGAGCTTGGGCTGCCTGTGGTTTAACGTTTATTTATAAACATCAAAACCTTTCAGTAACATTTGAATGTTAACTCCAAATTAGCGGGTTTTTAATTCAACCTTCTCATCCTTTAGCGAAACTTTCATCTTGGGTATTAAAATATATCAATTACACTTGCAGGTCGGACATTCACTATTCGATTCAAGCGTTCAATTCCGATTTTCCATGTAAACATTCAATTCCAACATTCAATGCAAACATTCAATTCAAACATTAAATATAAACATTCAATTAAAACATTTAGTGCAAGTATTTAATTGAAACATTCAATCCTGACATTCAATGCGAACATTCAATGCGAACATTCAATTCGAACATTCACTGCAAACATTTAATTCGAATATTTCATGTAAACATGCAATTCAGCAATATTCAGTGAAGGCATCATTCCATCTCTGTTCGCTCCGTGGCCTGGGGCCAACATCCTGGAACTTCTGAAATCCGAAAGGCGCGCCAAACCAAATTGTGTTTCCTTTGCTTTTGGAGTGCTTTGTGCGAGTGGCATTAATTATTCTGCGATTTTTACAGCACTTCAAAGGTAAGTTTGAGAGTGTTTATTACTGTATGTTGTTTGCATTTTCGAGGTTTAGTATATTTGTGCCTTAGAGTTTATAAATTGATTTTCATCTATATGCCAGAGGGCTTGAGGACATGGCACAGAGTAAATTCGGCCGCGGATCGAGTTAAGCCATCTTAAAGAACCGCAGTAAGATCTAGTCTGAGTAAAGACAGCCCTGTCCTTTCTCTTTGCAAAGTGAGACCTTGACTTTTGGGATGAATTTTACGGACAACCTCTTCAGGGAAATCATCACGGATATCGCTGTATTTACCTTCGAATAAGCCGCTTGTGCCAAAATGGGTGTATTCTAATTCGTTCTTTGCCATTCATTACATGCAAATGTGTGCACTCTTTCACAAAAATGCGATCACAGGGGGAATTTGCATTTCACTCGAGTTCGTGGTTCTAATACGCGTTCCTGCGATGAAAGTAATTCAAAGTATACCAGTAGGAATCTAAGATAAAGCAAACCTATGGTCTAAGTCATTAAAATTCTCAAAATAAATCACATCAATAGCATCACGTTTACGGGAAGAAATCACTATGTACTGCTTAAATATATATGCTCTCTCTTTTTGTAAGCATCGATGCATTTAGTATTACAAGAGTGAGTATGCCAGTTGAGGTTGACACCACGGGTATGCATGGGGTGTTTCTCTCCAGTAAATAAATTTTACATATATTACAAATGCTGGGGGCAGTTTTTAGCGAGAACTATTACCAGTTAAGTCATATTTTGAGATATTCGCAAGATAGAAGGCTATTTTAATCGGACCGACATTAAAGATTCATCCTTAAAAAATTATGTCCAGGGTAGGAACTTCATCGCCGATATGATGTCGTGCAGATTACAAGTTGAATAAGTAAGTTTTATCCCCTGTTGTGTTCGGAGAAATAGAAGCATAAACAGTTTTTATTTTTGGTTTTTTTTATCGAGGTCCCTATCATAAACCGTTAATACCGTAGTGGCACCCGTAAGTCATACAATTTCTTTGTACTTTAACTAATACTGAGTGGTTTTATTTTCAAGCCGCCATTATGTCTGGGAGTTTTTATTTAAAGTTAGAAACCAAGAGCTTCGTACATACTTAAAATTTGTCCTCCAGCACTTTGTTAGGAATCTTAAATTTGGAGAAACTACATTCTCTGGTGCACGACTCAAAGAACTTTCTATTACTTATAAGCATAACAAGGACAAAACGAGGCTTTTGTTTACTTCTTCTCAGAAGTTTGGGTCGGACGTAGTTCGTAAAATATGAAAGAGGAAACTTAACTTTTGAAAGGAAGAAGGCTCCAGGAAGTAGCTTCCAAATGCATTAACCCAAACCCTGCAAGTCGGAAGGAATTTGGTAACAATAAGAACAAGAGGGCCAGGACTAAGAAATCTCTCGCAGCAGACTTTAAATTTCATGACTTACTGGCTGCAACAGAAGACAGCAGCTCAGGATCTGAAGGTGCATGTATAAACAGACTTACACTGCTAACTCAAATTCGCAAGGGAACAAGATATGGTTCACGTTAGGGAGTGTTTGAGTTAGCTGATACTAATTGACTGAAAAACATGGGTCAAGGGAAATCAGAGTTGTTCGAGTTACTGGTGGGTTTGAGTGATCCGAGTTCGAGTAAGCGGGGTCCTACTGGAATTAAATTGAATTTAAATTAACTGCAGAGCCTTCATGTTTTTTTAGGTTTTAATTTGTAAATAAAAGTTAGATTGCCATTGAAACGATATGCCTTCCCATGGGAGTTTGAAATTCCTGCCATAGCCACATCCATCTGTGATATCTGTCGATGTCTTTATAATGTTTATTCACTGTTATACAGGTAATCTAGGAACAGGCGTTGAAGAGGTGGATAAAACACCAACAAGAAAACCAAACAAGAAAAGAAAGCGAAAGGGCAAGGATCAAGGAGTTTGTAATATGCATGTGCTCTGATTGGCTAAGTTCTATAGCTAGCATTATTCTACCGCAATGCCCATGGGCCGATTGCAAAAATTAGCTTCGTGATCATGTTTTTTATCATTTAGTGGTATTAGATTCACTTTGAGTGTCAATCAAGTCATCATTCAGAATATTATGTATGTATATGTGCATATATATATATATATATATATATAT